GCGCGGTGTCGATGCAACCGTCTGAGCGGCTCGTGTGGAATCATGGCCAGCGAAGCCACCTAAATCAAATTAGTCGGTTAAAACGTGTGGCCTGTAGAAAGAGGAATTATTTAAACATTTCTACTTAGCCAGAATTTCCATCAACTTCTCTGTGTTTTCCTGTCAAGGTGTGTTTGCTGATTATGCAGCGGTTCAGCTAGGACAGCATTCTTCGGCTCTGTGTTTTGATTATCAAAAGCAGAATGAATGTAACAGTGGCTTTTCGAGCACAGTAATTAGTTTCTTTTAAAGTAACTGACAGCATTTACCTACTTCAGCCATCCAAGTGTAAACTATAATGCTTTTAAACTTGGATTTTATTTTATAGTTCTGTTGGAATTGTAAAGTGAGGATTTAGAAAACACATTCCTTTTGTCCATGAATCTGTTTCCTCTCACCTTGGAAAGAAGTTCTTAAGAAACATCATACTGAGGGTGGTAGACACACAGCTGAATACTTGAAACTATCATTGTTAATGGGAAAAGACTTGTTTCAGGTAGATGAAAATATTTTCTAGTTTATCATACAAATAAGAAATTTAGACTATTGACAGACATTTCTCTATAATGTGTCCACTTTAGTCTGACACAGTGGAAGAGATACGCAGTAATTTGTTACCCACTTTGAGAAGAAGTCTTAATAGATAATTTGAGTGCTGGGTCTAATAAATAACTGTTATTCTGGGGAGTTCCATGTCATTTTATAGACACTTAGAGGAGGTACTTCTTACCTGCCTGATAAATAAATCATAAAATATGAATAAAACCAAATAGTATCTCTTAGTAATTCCCGCTGTCCAGAAAATGAAGGAGTGTGTATTGTGACTTGGCTACAATATTCTCTTTTTATTAGTCTGAAAATTACCCGCTCTGTAAGCAATGACTCAGTTGATTGGGCATATCTTACAAAGATACTTTACTTACAAATTGAATCTTGGAAGGTTGTGGTTCCAGAGTCGGGGTTTTGGGGGCGAGATGAGCTTATGTTTTATCCAACTGGCCCACAAAGTCCCGCTTTTGGTGGTCACTTTGTTCTGCAAAAGAAAACTGCACATTATGGCTCTTACACTGGACATTAAACTTAGTAGTAAACTACTGCTGCACTTAGGAAAAGGCTGCTACACTTTAAATAAATAATCGTGTTCTAACTTTAATGTTGTCTTTAGCGATAAAAAGTGGATAGAAAATATTATCATTTCAAAAGTTAAACATAAAAGCTTTCTAGCTGTTGGTGGTGTTTTTCTCTTAAAAAGCCAGCAAAAGATGAAGAAAAAGTTATCTTTCAAAGAGTGGTCACTCAGTGCAGGTGAATTGGGAGAAAAGGAAGTCCCTAGAAAAGAGAGGCAGTTTAAACCTTGCAAACATATAAGCACTGGTAACATTTGTATTGTCAATCCCCTTCTCATTTTTTTTGCTCACAGAGTATTCAGTTTTAACGTGTCTCTTCAACCAGCTGCTTCTTTATGTGTGTCTGTTTGTGTGTCTCCATGTGTCCAGTCTGTATCTATGGATCAATTTAAAGACTACTAATTTTTGTACTGGTAAAAGCCATAGGATATATTTTTATGAGTAAGGCACTGTAAACCTGAGCTTGGTAGAGCTGTTTCAGTTCATGTTATTATTTACATTTTAGTATCGATGTCCTAAAGAATTTAAGTATAATTTTTACTCAATAATTACATAGCTGTACTTTCCTCATGGGATTCTAGGAAGTGTTGAAAATGACAGTAGATACAGTGGACTTTCTATGGTTCCAAATATACTGCACAGATGTTTAACACTCAAAGAAACACATGACACTCACACAGTGTAATTTCTACAATGGTTCATAAATGCAGTATATGCACACAGAATACACACAGGAGCATCCCCTCAGTTGGTGTAAACGTGTCTGTCATAGTTTTGACATTTTATGCCAGCTAATCACCTCCTTAAGTTACACATTAAACATCTAGACATTCACATTGTGGTCACATTGTCACTGCAGTCAGATAAATTTTAAGTGCTGACCTATTCAGACTGAAACAATTTGAATATTTCAAAAAGGCCTGGAAATTCAGCTGAAGTTACCCAGTGATACACTGTTCAAGTAAAGTTGTTCTACATGACTATATGCAGGATCTATACATTTATGCAAATGGATATCAGGATGAATTACCAAGATTTTTCTGTAGAATTCTGACATTTTACATTTTATAGCAATACAATCTCTACACAAGTGAAATAGGACATATCCAAACCTCAGTGCAACAAATTCCTCACTTGTTTAAGACCAAAATCTGATTTGGAGGAGCTTAGGTCAGAATTGTGCTGCTAATGTGCCTTTTAGCTACTGTTCTGCATGAAATAATGCTGTTCAAAGGCAGCATTTATGAGAGGTTAAATTTTCATGAGCCAATTAAGCTATGAACTTAACTGTAAAAATTTTTCATTTTTGAATTATAGTACTTAGTTTGTGAATACATTCCAGACCTGTCCAGTCTTACAGGTTGTCAGATCTGTATTGGTTTAACTCCCCATGTCTCTTCACTAGGATTCTGAGAACATAAGAGCAGAGAATCAGAGATCAGAAAGTGGATCAATGTGAGGATCTTTAAGGGAAAAGAGAAACAAACCTACATACCCGAACAGCAGCAAAGATCAGCTGAAATACAGCAGTTGCTTCTTACCAACTGTTACTTTGAAGATCTTAAATTAAAACATGTAATTTTGCACAGTTACTTTCAGTAAGATGTGCTTTAAGTAACACACTTTGCTGATCAGCTATTTTTAGATTAGTTTTTCAAACGGGTTCTGTTTGATTCTCTATTGATGATAAATAAAATTAACAGGCATTCCTCCTAGCACCAATAACCCAGCTCTAGAATTAATACACTCTTTGAATGATTAATGAGCAGTGTTAAAGAACACAGTTACACTTCTCTAGGCCTTCCTCATACAACATTTTTATTCACATTTTTTCCCTTTCCCGAGCTTACAGAAGCAGCTCCTGTTTGTCTCTGGTGTGCAGTAAAACAGATAATTTTCTCCTACCGTGGATATCATGCATGTATTTTAAACTTTAAAAGTATGTTTATCTTCTATGTGTTATTTAAATTGATGATGATTAGAAGAAACAGTGATAGATGCCCTAAACATCTGTGTTATAAAAATTGGCTCTCTTTCCCTCACTCTGGTTTTTCCCCCCAGGTTTGCGTGCAGCTTGGGGTGGTGGCCTCAGAGCTGAGACTCCTGAAGTGCACTGTGTATCCAGGGCATTAATAATTAAATACCTGGGATCAGTCTATCTTGCTATTTGTTATGACAAAAAGAAAATGACAGAAGAGAAAAAGTAGATGGTATGTTTATAATAAAAATTAATTTTTCTTGAGGTAAAAAAAATGTCATGAATTATTGAAAAAATAATGTTTAGAAATATCAGGCCCAATTATTTATTGCATTTATAATTTATAAAATTGAAAGTCCTACCAGCTCTCTTTCTATTTAAAATAAATTTAAAACTACATTTTTAAAATGACTTTTCTCCATTTTTAAGCAAACCTTTAAAAAAAAAACCAGCTTACAAACACACTGAATCAGCAGAGGATTATCAAATGGCCTAATCTGTTTACTTTTGAAATTTTATTGAAAGCAGTGAAAAGATCAGGATCTCCACCAGAATCCAGTGGCATGGCTGGGGATTGGTTTGTGGCCTGCATTTTCTGAAGCAGGGCCTCAACCTTTGACATCTCCTGACCTCGTGTTGCAACAGAAAAGTTTTGTGACTCCCCTCTGATCCAGCCATAGAAAAAGAGAGAGAGAGGTAACGACCTCGAGTTTGGAAACTCATGACCTGGAACAACGAAAAATTTTGCCTTAGTGAAGGCTACAAAATCAGTCACCCCTTCCTCAGAAGCCATCCAGAGTTTTTTCCAGGGCAAGAGCACAGACACCCAAGGGCTGATTTTTAAATTGTGCCTTGTCCTTGTCTCCCTGCTGCAGTGTCAGCCACCAGCACTGCTTGCCTGTGTAAAACCTGGACCTCACACCACAAAGAAAATCTATGTGAACACACAGCTGTGTGTTCAGGCATAATTTTGAAAGACATCCCTCAAAGTATCATTTTTTATTTGCCAAAAAAATCATATTTCATAGGTTATGAAGCAAAAAAAAAATGGATTTTTTAAAATGGCTTTAAAATGTTAGTGGAAAAACACTGCTGTCACCTGGTAGCTGCACCTGTAGTGAAAGAAGTGGTAGGAAAGTAGTTGTGTGACATGAAATGCCAAATCCACTTCAGACCACGTGGCTTGAAGCTTCTGGTGAAATTACTGAATTGAAAGTATCATTTGCCCAGTTTTCACAGCATATCAGTTAATAAATGCACTGATGTCTTGCTGCAATGCCATATGCAAACAATGCAGATGTGGAGGGAATTTGGTAAAGGATATAAACATGGAAAAAACAAAGGATCAGGTGTTTTACCTGTTGTCAAAATGCCCAAGTAATTCCTCTTTCTGAGGTTTCTTTAGGAGTTGTGTGAGCGGATAGGCCTTATTCAGCTTGTGGATTTTTTTCAGGACCTTTCTATAATATTCACAGAGTAAATAAAGATAATAGACTAACATGTATTACTGAGGTGACTTGCTTTGTGAGCCAGCTGACAGGACTACATGTCAGCAGTTGGCATCAGAAGGTTACCCCTGGTCTCTCACTCCCTGCTGGATATAAAGCCCTTCAGTTACCAACATTTTATTTTTTACATTAGAATCAGGATTCTCTACAGGCAGGCTCCAGAAGTTTTTTTCTTTTCCTGTTTGGAGCATACTTGCTCTTAGCTGAGCTCAAAAGTCTTAAAAATGATACATCAGTTCTCTCTGATTTCCTAATATACCAATTACTTACACTGTGGATGCACGTGAAAAACTTCAAACAAAACTATTTTGATCTTTTCAGTTAATGCTGCTGTAATATTTTAATTTAGCTGTTAATGAAGGAGACTACAATTCACCAGTGTAAAGTAGTATTGATGCATTTTTGCTGTTTAAAGTATCTAAGCTTCAGTCAGACAGACCAAATCCTTTTACTGAAATCATGGCCTTTCTATAGGAACCAATATAAAATAGTCTCTAAACACTGATTTTTATAAATAAAACTTTTCTTTTGTTTGTAGGTCAGGATAAGAATTAAAACAAAACACACACACAAAAAGGACAAAATGTGTCCTGTCATCTACAACAGGGCCCATATAAAGGGCTTTAGGAAAGGCTGAGAAAAATCCATTCGGGATGTTTCAGGATTGGCCCACATGTGCCAAGAGAAATAAGTGAATGCAGTAATTGCACTGAAGGGGCATTTCTATTTGTTATGGATTGCTACTGTTAAAATGGCTATTAAGGTCAGCAAAATCCAGATTTTTGCTTTGCTGCTGCTGCTGTTTGTATTAAAGCTTTCTTTTGTAATCCAAGGCCTGTTTCAAACCACACAAACTGCACACACCTGTGTCAGTAGGTGCCTGGATGCTGCTGTCAGTCAGAAGGATCTCCACTGAATTCACTGGACCTGCATCCATAAAAAATGCAAGTGAGATCACATTAAAATTTCTGGAACCTGAGGAAAGAATTGGGTTAATTTTTTATTATATTTTAACACAAACGCAGAGCAAATGTATTACACAGCCCATCATATTAAATAATATATGAGGAATTGGACATTGCTTTTTTTCAGTGATATATTTTATACCTTATGGTACAAGAATCTGTGAAGATTATGCCTGTTAGGTGCTATTCAATGTGGATTATTTTAAAATGGTAACTTTTCATTGGGCATGTCAATTGAATAGGCATAACTCAGAGTTCAAATGTGCTACCTGTTTTACTAAGGATATTTATAAATATCTAGTATTTAGTCTTTCCTAAATTGCATTCCTCTTTGTATTTTTACTCTGAGTGATCTTTCTGTATGTATAAGGGAGCTGGAAAATATCTTTAAATTCTTTAAAATGAAAATTGTTATATGATTCTATTATATATAATTTTCTTCTATAAACTAATGTTCACTCTGTCACTGAAGTATCCTTAAAAATGAGAAATGCAGGTCAATGGTTAATGATGATTATTCTGTTTTATTTTTTTGCTTTTGGAGAGCTGAAAGAAGAAAAATTGTCCTGTGTTGTCTGGGCTTCCTGCAAACTGTTTTGCACTTCCCAATACCAACAGAATTTCTTAGAGTGTTGCCTAAGAATTCACTTTGTTGAATGGACAGGACCATTTTATACATTCAGAGCAATGACTTAGAGGCTGTTTGAAAAACTACAATTTTCCTGTGTAGTGAACTAACAGAAAATGATGAAATCCTGAGGTATTGTTGGAAAGTTGTTCTAACTTAAAAATCTTTTCTTTGTAGTTCCATTTTTGATGTTCCACAGCATTCACCACTTCCTGCATGGCTCTGAACCGCAGGGAAAATGAGGGACTTTTGGGGGCAGATGTGTTTCCTTTACACTATCATAATGCCCCTAAAAATCCTTATTGCTCTTGCAGTATTCTTCTGTGTTGCTGGGCCTGGTGAGAACTACTCGAAGACCTGGCTTAAAAATACAGCTTTTCTCTAAAAACACTTTAAAAACACCACTGAGTTTTATTTTGTTCGTCTTATATTATTTTTAGTTGTGTTTACTGCTGCTTAAAATATAAATGGCAAGATATGCAACCACCTGTTGGTAAACAAATGTCATAAGTCATAAATCCAAGGGACATGCAGATAACTGCATGGTATTATGAAGAGGGATATATTTTGGCTTAAGAGCGAGAGCTTCATTCTTTTGGTACAATTAACTTGTTTTTAACATAAGAATTTAGCATCTGTGTCTCTGAAAATATGACAGACATTTTGCAAGCTGACTTGAATGACTGCTCAGGTGGACCTCGGTTAGAATATCAATTTTAGAAACATGCATCAGGTCATTTATCAAATGCATGGATCTGTCCAGTACTTTTGTTTAAATTAAATGTACCAAAACACCCAAGTTTTCATACAGTCCCAAAATAAAATTATGATTAAACCTAGAAAAGATATTGTGGGTTCTCAGCTGTCCTGTGCTTATCCAACTCTAAAGGTCTTTGTGTGGGCATTCCTCTTGCTGAGAGGCTTTTGAGGGAGGTGGGATGGCCCAGTCCCTTGGGAATGCTGGGTGGCTCCTCTCCCTGCCCCTCTGGTGAGCGGGAGAGATCTCCAGGGATCTCCTGGGCACAGTTTATTCCTGCTGGGTGACAGGTTCCCCTGGCGCCTGCAGTTTTCCAGTTCTTGAAGGAGGAGGCAGAACACAGACCCGTAAACACGGTTTGTTTGTGCCTGGGTATTTCAGCCCAATATATCATCAGGTTGACATGTGCAGTGCTGGTAACATTTATTTCAGTGGCTGTGTGTGGGACAGCACTGTCACTGCTTTGTGGTAAATGGACTCCTGGCTCCATTGACGAGCTTAAAGGAAATAATAGATGGTGTCACTTCATCCCTCTGACAGGGACTACTGATATCCTTAAATAGCCTCCAAAATACTGGGTGACATAGGAAAGAAACTAACTGGGTGGCTTCACCCCCCCTTTTATATTAAAGTTTAATCTCCAAGCAAATGCTCTTCATTCTGCTAAAGGACTGTGTCTCATTTTTCAGGCAAGAAAACCTGACAGGTCAAGTCATGTCCTACAGGTCACAAAGTGGACTTGCTGTTACAGCTGAAACTCAGAACTTTTGATGCCAAATAAACACCACAATAACAAGAACGTTCCTTTCTAGGAGGACTGAACAAGCAGTGTTGAACAATATTGTACTCACAGGTCAAAACACACTGGCATATGCATTCTTATAAGGTATTAAATTAATCAATTAAATTAATTGTAAAGTTTTCGGCACTTTTTTTCCTAACCGTGCAAAAGTGCATGTTCAGCAAACTTTTTATTTCCAAGTCACATTCCTTGGGTAAAGACTCTGCATCTAATTGGAAATGTTAAAAAAAAAAAAGGCATGAGACAGCATATATTCTATGGAGTTCTGCAGTGTTAAGATCAGTGAAGGGAGTACTCCCAGAGCTACAAAATGTATCACCTTGCTACAGAAGACCTAATATGAACAGATTGGAGTTTTAATTACTTTTTAGAAGTCTTCTGGGGGCTATGCTAGTCACAGGATGATGTAAAGAATACTGTGATGATGGATTTGAGCATTAAAAATGATCTAATTTTGTATTTGTCCAGTGTCAGCATCTTATCTTACACATAATCTTTCAAGGATATCAGAATTAATTTTTTTTCCTAATGTAAGCAATCTTTCATAAAATTTCTTACCTGCATAACTTGTAGGCTTCAACAGCTGATTCTTGAATACAAAACTACTTCTATACATCCAGGCCAGAGCAAAAGTCAGGTTCTTTCTGAACATGTGCTCTGCAAATATGTAAAAATATATTTATCATATGACATTACTTTCAAGAAAAATATATGGTTAGATCTAGAAATCCTGAGATTAAATTCAAGGAAAAGAATCAAAATAAGTAACACTAAATTCCAGTCCCTTTTATATCTAAGAGGAATCACCTGACATACAATTGTCATTTTTTTGCACATTTTTATCACTGAAGAATAAGGATCAGAAAAGAGAGCCAAGCACATGTTTCGAGATGCATATTTAAGCTCTTGAATTCAAACACTTGCTTCAAGTTGTTTATTTTAAGTATTTAAATCATTTTGGTGTGAAATGGTATGTCACAAAACCCGCTGGATCTGATAGAGCCCCGGAGGAAGGCCTGCAAAAGTCATCTGTAAAACTGTCCACTGAAGCTAAAAGCACTTTGGGAACAGGCTGGGAGTAACTTTCAGTATTAAACATTCTGTAAAAGATCATTTTTTTCCTCTGGTTGTTCTTTAAATATGAGCAAAGTGAAGATTTCTATTAGCCTCTTCTTAGGGGGTTCGATTTCTTTTAATTATAGGGCCAAGAGACATTAACCAAGAGACAAATTGCCCTAAAAGTTAGAACAGTAGCAAGTAGGTAATATTTTTCAAATAGAATTTCCACAGTGGAAAAGATATTATGTATTTGTTATGTGCCAAGAATTGAGTAATATGAGAATGCTTTGATTCTTTTACAAAATGGAAGAGCATTAACAGCATTTCACTTTTTTATTATATATATTTATTTTATTTTTTTATTATATATAAAATTCCTGTGATTACCAACAGTCTCCTAACAGATAAACAAAAATAGCAGAAAAGACATGCAGTTATTAAATAGGCTGAATAAGAGAAACCAGTCTCATTTATATATTGAAGAAACCCGTTATTATCTCAAGTTTTGAACATTACCTCAACTGTATGTACACTATTTAAATGTTATTTAGACCACAGAATTAATTTGTTGCCATTGATGGCTGATTAAAGAAGTGTAAATGGTTTTGGTTTTTCTCCTTAACTTTTGAATGCATGCAAACAATTTTATTCCCATATTTAAATCACGAGTGCCAAGATTGTGACTGAAGTGGATCTTTATGGTTGTATTTTAAACAAGTGCAAATGTCAGTTAGGAAGTACAGTGCTGACAGGATCTCAGTTAGAGCTGGAAGGGCATACAGGAATCATTGTAAGTTAATAAAGATCATTAAAAGAAATCACACATTTCATAATCAGGCTTTCATCAAGATAGATAATATGACCTATTTTACACTTAAGCAATTAGAAGATGAAATACTTGGAGATGATTAATTTCTTCAGTAGTTAGACTTAACAGGAGATATTGCCCAAGAAATAATCTACTGAGAAACTCAATTCTTAATCAAAATTGGGTTTTGGTTGATTACTGGGTATTGGTTTGGTTTTTTAAAGAAAAAGCCACTTTAAAATTTTCCTTACTTTTCAAATGATGAATACTATTTTGTATATTCTTTTAAATGAAATCTACAGCCTTGTTGTGACTGCTGACTGAGGCCTTTGGAAATCTCAATAATGAGAGCACCATAACAATCAAACTAGATTGCAGCAGGTTAATTTTGAACAGAGGAAGCAATAGGATATTCATATATAAAGCCAGGGAATCTGTGCTAGTCATTTTTGGAGTTCTGAACTAATCCATAACAGAACTATCCCATGACTGCAGTTGGCAGTAAGGAGAACTGAGTGAGCCCAGAAGATCCCCAGATTGTAGTTTGAATCAAACATAGACTTTGTGGTATAATCTGGGCTCATAGTCAAATAATCTAGATTCAGTACCTTGATAATTCATATAAAATCATCTTATCTTAGAAATTTATTCTAACTTGTACCAGAATTTTATTCTTTTAAAACTCTGGGTGTATTTAAAACCAAAAAAGGAAACAAACTCCTTCTTAGAACATATCTGAAATGAAAATTAGAGAGTTCTTGTTCCAGTCTGAGCATTAGGAGATGAATGTTGCATCAAGAGGTTCTGGATTCAGGGGCTGGGCCCTGATTGCCCCCTGGCCAGTCACAGGAGGGTGGAAAATGCCCTGAGTAGAGCCTAAGCCAGGTAAGGTACTGCAGGCACTTCACCTGTCAGAGGGAGCAGTGCAGCTCCCACCTCATTTCAGAATGCATTTTAATCTGGAATAGTCAGCTCTGGCCTACAACACAGTATCTTACTGTACCAGCTCCATTGCTATCCTCTCCTTCCAGATTACCCAGTTAATAAACAGAAAATTCCAAGAAGTCAAAAAAGACCCACCCCAAAGCAGAGGTAGCTCCTCCTGCCAGAAAGTGAGGCCTGAGGCCCCGATAACACACAACCCTCCTGCAAACACCCCGGAGCGGGGCAAGGGGGCAAAACTGCCCCAGTGAAGCACCTCAAGGCTCTCGATCTCCTCCTAAAGCAGGTCCCTGCTCGCACCCAAAGCCCGGGGGTCACCCAGCCCCCGGGGCAGGAGAGGAGTCAGCAGGGTGGGCTGGGAGGGGCCAGCGGGGCCCTCCCGCGGGGCCGGCGGTGCCTCTGTCCTTTGTGCTGCACCGGGGCTGCCCGAGCACACGGCGCTCCCTCGCTGCTGCTTCAGGGCTGCGCTGACTTTGTCTCACATGTCACCCCCAAGACAGCAAAGAGATGGGGACCTGCTGCCTCGGGAGCTTCAGCCCGCTTAACTCCCGAAGGCATCTCCTTTGGCACTGTTGACAGTGGGACTGAAAAACTGCCTGCGACTGTGGTGGGCAGACAAAACAAACTTTAACGACACAATTTTAACTGATTTCCATACGAATTAAGATAAGAAGAGCAGTGCACTTGAACAGCAAATCTGCAGAGTATATTACAATACCCGTAATAGCAAATTTATCTTAATGCAAAAAAAATTAACATTTCTAATGAAGCATAATAATTGGGTGGTATTGACATTATTATATGTTCCAAGGATATATTCTCACCTTTTCACAGAGAGCAGAAAACTGTATTTTCCCATTCTACCTGTGGAACGTTTAAAAACACTTCAGTATTTTACACTAATGCACAAGAATACTACTGTGTTATGGCAGAAAACATGGAGCTTTGAACCTATATGGGAGATAGGGACTTTGTTTCTCTTCTGTGATTCTGCATCTCCCAGCCCTGACCTACATGTTTAACACTGAGGCATTAAAAGGTTGGAAAGAACAAATAATAACTTTAAGGTGCTGCACCTTATGTTGGAACGTTTTTTAGTCTGTAGATAATTATTACCAATCTTAGAACACCGAAAAATTTGGGCTGAGAAAAACAATTTTGGGAACAAACAATAAAAAAGAGTAAAGCAAAGTCTCTAGACTGCAGGCCACTTGCCAGCTCTTCTCACAGGAACTTTCAGTTCTGCTGCTTGCTTTGAGTGTAGCAAAAAGATAAACATTTTCTTGTTGCAAGTGAAAAAACATTGCCATGCATGACAAGTTGATAAGCACTATCAGCAGTTTATTAGTTCATTGGAACCAGATACAAAAAGTGGTGGAAAGTTTTGATGTGTTGCTGAAAAAAGAAAAATAACTGGTCAATGCCCAGAACTATTGTGCTGAAAAAAGGTTTTCTATTCTTAGTAACTGGAGTTTTCACTGCTATAGACAATTTTGCTTTCTGTTTGTAGTAAATTCCTCGATGTATCTGCCTCCTTTGTATCCCTTGCACCACTGTGTGGTGGGTCTGTATTTCCAGGTGGGACAGATACAGCAGTCTAAATTCTACACTGATAAACAACTATGTTAAAGTCATGGCACAACAGGCAGAATTTGTTTGAGTGACTTAATTACATTAAAAATAAACTTTTTCTGCTCTAGGTCTTTTCACATTAACTGTAGATGTTGGGATCTTATTGCCATGTTTTTGCCTGTTGTAGTTATTGAAAATTCAACATAGTGTATGTAGGTATGGTACAAAATAGGTGCTGTGATAGGTCCTGCCATACACCTCTATTTAGCACTTGCTTGATTAAATTCTTGTCTGATTATTTTTCTGCTGTTGGCCTACATGCCTTACAACAAATTGATAGTGTTTGACTCTTGATATTGTCACCAAATCTGTATCTGTACTAAGATCTGCCAAAGTAAATATTAAAAATCCTGCCATACATCCCAAATGTCACTTTTAGTTTCCCTTTTGTAAGGGTATGCAGCATAGTATAAACAAGGAGAAACAAAGAGATAAGGCAGTGATGTAGTATCAGGGTTTACCAGCCAAACTTGGATGTGGGTATATTAATCACAGATGATAAAAACATAAGGAAAAAGGTTGCAGGTTTCAGGAAGAGACTTATATCCTACACTGTAATGACTTTTTGTATCATTTATTTTATTAAACAATTATTTTAGAAAAGTTTTCATGTTTTTTCTTACAAAAGTAACCATGCTATTTCATAGCCCTTTTCCCCCACTAAGACAGGCTTTTAAGCACCATTGACGTTTGTGGTATGACAATTTTTATGGCTCTAGAGAAATAACAATAATACACTTAGGAGAAAATTGAGACACATTATGTCTGGAAAATGTTGTTACACTCCGTCAAAGAAATAAGAAGAACTTATTTTAATATCCTGTCTCACAATATGGGGTAAAATGGACAAGAAAATTAGGACGGGTAGATGAAATGTATACTTTAGCACGATGTGAGCAGTGACCAGACAGCTAATATTTTCAGTTATTTGCAAGACTTCAATGATTCCCAGATGCCTGAAGTAGGGCAAGGAGGAGGACTAGGAATTTCTTCTGGATTTGATGGTTGCTTGGCGCTGTGGAATGTAGATACCTTTGCCCATTTGTATAAGAATTGTGTCCTTTGCCTTGGCTTCCCAGTGGGAGCTCACAACTGAATACACAGACAGTCTTTCAGGACTTCCTTCCTCCTTTATTGAGGGCACAGACACAGGAGATGCATGTGCAGGATGTTTATGGGAAAGAATTAGAAAGTTCTACTCTTACAGCAACTGAATGCTCCTGAGAGTGTCACACACATGTGGATATTTGGTGAAAGTAAACATGCTCCTGTCTGGTTTGAAGGAGAAAGAGCAAAGGCTTTTTTTCCTCTGTGTTTTCAGACATTATATAAAATTCTGCTGCAAGAAAGAAATTGTTTGTGTGCAGATGCTTGGCTGCCTTGAAAATATAAACAGTTTTCTTGGTAGCATATTTATTCACCATATTAATATTAGTCAACTAGAAGTTATTATTTTTTAATTGAACTGCTCTCAGGCTAATAGCACAGAAGTATTGCTATTGGCATGCTAGATATTTTCAATTAATTAAGTAAATAAGTTCACTAATTTAATAAATTATTCTTCAATCAGTTATTTATTAAATTCATTTATTTGATTGCTTATCTTGGTTTCTTCTGATTCTCAAATCTAGAATATTAAAACTTGAGCAACAGACCAGACACTGACATATACATATAAATTCAGGAGTGGGATATGGCTTGAAATTAAAGCTCTCTTGATACAGGAGACAGTTCCACTATTAAGCAACTGGGGCTAAGAGCAGCTCTAAAGGATTCAGAATGTGAGCAGTCTGGTAAGAGGGCCAATAAGGTGAACATTTCAATGGAAGTCTTTTGTGAGCTCAAAAGCTTCTTGCTGTGCAAAGAAATTCCTCCAAAATGTCTGGTATTTGATGGCAGCAGACCTTTGCATTGCGATAACCAGCAGATAATCTGTTTTTTTATAATCTATATTGTGATAATCAGCAGGTAACACCTTATGAAACTACTGTACCTTGACTGGGGCATGAAGAAAGCAGGATACTAATGATCATCAGTCCACTGGATCAAGGGAATTGGTGTAGGCCTGTAACAGAAATAGTAACCTGTGAGAATGCAGAAGCAAAGGAGGTATGTCCCACATTAGCTGACTGGCTGCCTACAGGAGCACCACATTGCTTAAAGAATGAACTGTCTTTCAACTTCACACCAACAAGTTGGGTGCAGGTATTTCATAAGCTGAATAGATCACATATGGCAAGCACAGACACACCAGACAGATGGCATTTGTCTTCTGAGGTCTAAGAATATTTTTCCTTAGTTTGTGCCATAAGGAGCAAATAAAACTAAGATAAAATGGAAGAGAATATTGTTTGGTAACATTTGTCTTATACTGTGCCTGCTGGAGTTAATGTTCAGGGTAGAATAAAGTTCATATATTATAAAAGGTCACTGATCTAGCACTTTAGACTCATTATCCTGCCTAAACAAGATTTTTTAACTTTTTGCAATCAAGTTCTCCTAGGTTAGGTTAGGTCTCCCAAAACAAGTATCCTCTTTCAAGAAGGAACACTGATTTTAAAACAAAATTTTATCTGAATTATCTTAAAAGCCTTGTTCAATTTTAGAGTAATGACATGAGACTTCAATGGAGAATTTGCTATTTGTTCTGTTACCCTGACTTAAGTCTAGAGAAAAAAGCAGACTCCCATGGTAGGTGGTACAGCATTCAGTCAGGTAGGAGTATGGAAGTTCACAGCAACTGAAGTTTTGGCTCAGATTGTTCTGGAACTCGGAAAACACCTTAGCACCATTTAGGGGAAAATCTCTCTTCCAAAGAATTATCATCAAGCCAGTTCTAAAATGTCTTAGAGAGAGAAATCTAAATCTCTTAGAACCTTTTTCAAAGAAAAGTAAAAGAAATGGTCACACAAAATTATATCTGCATATTGAAGTATAAGTCAGCAGGAATGTAGCTAGGAAATATTTTATTGTTTTTAACTAAGAGATATTTGCATTTGGCCAAATATGTAATGTTTGAATGCAGGATTTATTTAACACTAAGTTAAAATCTTCTGAAAATAATGTAGACAATGAATGTGTGTTAAAATCTTTTTCTTATCCAAGAATTTATGTACCCTGTTCCAAATGCTGACATGGTTTGTAGTTATTATTTTTTATTTTACAACGAAGTTCAGACAAAATCATTGAGCCACAATATCAGTTCACTGGTCTAAATCTAAACTCTGCAGTTACCTCCAAGTCTTTTTACACAGGAATGTAAATTCAGTACTAACACAGGATGAATAGGAAAAAATTCAGAAATAGGAGTTTAAAATAAATAGAAAGCTAAAACAATATTTATTTGCCTTCATTTAATATTTGATGTAATTCTGAAAGATTATGTAAGTGTTGACTTTAATGTATTTAAGACAACAAGCTGTTGTCTCATTTTCATTTTGTTGTTGGATGTACTATTTTTGCAATACCCACCAGTTCAAGTAATGATAACGAGCTTGTGATTTCCACTGGTGACAGTGACCACAGAAATGTGGTGAGGGGGAGAACAACAACTCATTGACTGAAATGACTCCGTGTTTTTCAGAACACTCTTGCAAGAAACCTGTTGGCAAAATGAAAATTATATAACTGTTACTATTCCATCTGCATCTTTCAAAATCATTAAATTAAATGCATGAATGAAGGAAAAAGTAAAACTGTTTTATCTGTAAAGGTATAAATGCATACAAAATTGTTTTCATGAATTACTTTATATGCAGTCAAATGCATAATTCTTCTACAGCCAGCTTTTCCTTTTGTTTTTTGTGTTCTTTCACATTAATGGAAAAGACATAATAGCAAGATACCAGTAGGGATTTGCATAATGTCCTGTTACATCACATCTCAATGTACAACAGAATTTGCAAAATTTCATAGTACAGGACCTTGTATTGAATATTGCAAGATGTACTTAGTGTCCAAAGGATTCCTAATTATCCATATATTTGCATAATTACCATGAAAATTATTTCCTTCACAATGCATGAACATTTCAAACTTTGGTCTTGAATTCTTGTCACCTTTCACACACCTGCCACCCCAGTACTCTGCAAAACTTTTTGAAAACTTAATTTTTGAGAAACAAAGCACTGGCAACCTGTCAGGGAGACAAGCAAAAGAAGACATATGCATAGAGAAGCAAACAAATGTGTGCGTTCCCAACTCACCACAAATTCATGGAGAAATATGTGAATGGAGAATAACAACAATTAAGAACTGCATTTCTTAATGTCTAAGTTCTCAGAGAATATCCAACATTCCTCAGGCACAAAGAATATTCGTGTTGTTCCAGCAGCTGATTTAATTTGCAATATGTGTGTGTCTCCCAGAGCAACAAACTGTATTTGTGTTTAGTCAATACAGTGATAACCTGAAATGTGTGAGGAACTGCAGCACCACAGGCCTGACTGCACAATGAAGTTAACAGGAGCTGTGCTTCAGCATTGAGACTGGATCAAAATGAAGATCTGAGGGTGTCCCTATCACCTTTGAGAAGGCATCTCTCCTCCTGCTCACACATCATTGCAGATGTATTTGGAAAGGCACTTCTAGGACCCCTTCACTTAAAACAACAGGCCAGCAGTATTTTTTTTTTGGAGGATGCATATTGGGAGCACTCCCTGACTCTGAAACACCTCATTTCAGAATGTTTTGTAGGGAATTCTGATTATTTGGTGGAGAAAGTGTTGTGAAGCAGTGGCTCAGATGTGGTGCACCAGGAATACTGCACCAGGAATTCATCTCAACGAGCTCTAGTGCTTATCTCTGCTCAAATATCAATATCTCTGCACCTAGATAGCAATACCTCTGCTCTTTGCTCAATGTATTCCTGCACTGATAGGAAATTACATAAAGCTCCCTTCTGAATTTCAAAAAATATCAATTAAATATGAATCCTTACAAATTTTCATGAAACTGAGACAATTGCAAGGCAATAAACCTTTGTTGGAAAGGTGCTATTTAGTTGTGCTTGTAGCCTTACTCGCCTCAAATATAATTTGATCCTCTACATTTAAAACTGAACTTTTCCACACTGGAATTGTTTTAATAACAGAAGAGATGTGTTAGTTAGTCATTGATAGCCACAGATTATGTCCCTAAGTAAGAATCCAGTCTTTATTACCATAGTAAAAGAGCTCCAAGACACAAGAATGTGGTAGCAAAGAAAGGGATCTTCCAAAACCTATGTAACAAAAGTGCTATCAGAATAATTCTCTAAGTATGTGCTGCTTCAGTATGCAGTTTTTAATCATTAAAAAGTGCAGTCTTTTGTAACTTGAAGATAAAGACTTTAATGAGAATTTTTGTGAATGTATTACTTTCCTGTTAAAATACTTGGAACGCCTTGTTAATCCTAGTAAAGCAGCAAATGGCATGTAAAGATGAATGGAATTGAAGAATATAGCCTTCCTCTGTGGAAAAAAAAGTACTACACAGCTGAATGATAAGTTCTTCACAGAAAAGTATAAACTGAGTAGAGTAATAGAAAGAATTCCTATCAAGTATGGCTGATTTAGTTCTTACTGAAGTAAAAAATGTTACAATTTTAAAAAATCTTGATTAAACAATTTCTGATAATATGGGAAAATTATCATACATTATATAAGATTATCTGTACTCCTATGGGTGCAATATCTATTTCTACTTAATTTTTAGATTTACAGCCATATTGATTGTTCTCAGCCAGGGCCTAAATTTGAGTGATTGAAATAATGACCAAACATTTCAGAATACAGGAAACGTATTGTACCAGGTTCTGCCTCACTGCAACAAATGATCATTTAAGGAGCAAGATCCAACCATTACCTATGTATATTTATAGCTACACAGATACACACACATATGGTTTGCTTTAGTGGATGTGAAGGAAATACCCCTTTTCTATAAAATCCACTTTTAATGGCTCCAGGATGATTTAACAGGGTAACCTCCCTAAAGATGATGGTCTGGTTTTGTAGAATAAGTCCAGATTCAGAGTGGAATCTTTCAAAACTCAGCAAATTCCTCTTTGAGTCCTAACTATCTCCAAGTCTTGTCATATGAGAGGATGAATAACTCTTTGACAGCACCCATTTCTCTTCACTGATAATAGGGTAATCCTCAGTCATCTTGTTCATCAAACTGTACCTAAGTTTTAGACACCCAAAGTAAGGAGAGATTAATTATTCTTAAATTTACTATGTTCCTTAAAGGTTTAAGAAATGAAAAGCCAGCACATTATTTTTCTTACATACAAGATCAGAAGAAATAGTGGAAAATAGGACTATTCTAATATTGTCTCACTGTAGCTGCCTATTCTATTTATGACACCCCTTTATAAAGTGCCAAGTCTATTCATGCAACCTACAGATACTCTAAATGAGAAAATAAAATTAAGCATGAATATAGAAAAAGTCAAGTATTTCTCATGCAGTAATAACTTCCACCTATAAACACATCCTAAATTGTACTAGACCAGGCTAATATCACATAAAAAATTAAGCAACTTCTCACAGAGAAGCAACATGATCAAAGATAAAGTCCAAATGACAAAACAGTTTTACTTAGTAATTGTCTGCTTAAAATTACAGGTAGTAATATTTTTTGTCATTATGATCATATTGATAAAACTTTAGAGAGTACAAGACTGTACATGAAACACTGTGTTGTAAAAACCCCTGTAGTATGAGGTTATAATGAAACTATTGAATTTCCTTATTTATAGAAGCCCTGCTGAAAATCAAAGACTGCAGAAATAAGTATCTGTATTAGCTGACATCTCCACAAGGCATAGACCCATTTGGAAAAGAAGAAACTGATCTGCACAACCATAAGTTTAGAATATCTTCAAATAAATACATTTGTAAGAGACCATTTTGTTTCTAATGGAACACAGCAAAATGTTCTTCTGACGGAACATTTTATTCTGAGTCCCTATTTCTGTATTTTACCCAATAAATCACTTCTATAAATTATGAGTGCTACATAGGTCAGTGTGAATTATTCAAAACCAAACCTTAATCTATGGAAAAGAATCTTGATTGGAATAGGTTTTGCTTTTAAATCAACTGGAACCCCAGACCAAATTCCCTTTAACACATTCAATATGCCTGAGCTGATTTTGGTTTCATTTCAACACAGCAAATAGTTCAATTGACAGGTAATAACGTGAAACTTGAGACATTTTTGGCCCTGATTCATCTGGAATCTGGAGCATTAGTAAGTCTAAAGTGTGAGAAACTAGTATGGAAATTAAGGAATTATCCATGCTAATATTTACATGGCAAATTATTTACCAAAATGAAAAGTTTTTGCTACATGCATGAAAATACAGATCCCAAATCGTACAACTGTGCTGAACAAGGGAAGTTCCCTCTCTTGTTAAATGCAGAGTGGTTAAACATTGGAGCCTGTAAATGCTGCTCCATAAAAATGGCTGGTGCCAGTCCCAGAGGAGAATCTCTCTGGAACAGACTCTGAGAGCTGGATTAACACACTGAATAAATAAGGATGATGACCTCCTAGATACTACTACTGGCAATTTCTTTGTACTCATTCCTCTGGAATACTCCTGTTGGTTTAGGAGGAGAGGGCTCCACAAATTAACCCAAAGCCATATGCTTAATTCCACATGCAAACAGGTCCTTGGCTGCGTGGGGAGCTGCCCCTGCCACGAGGATGTGTCTGGGTGGGGGGACGTGTCACCCAGCTGTGTGTCTGTAAATCTGCAGATCTCCCACCAATGTCTGGGCTGGGGCTGCCACAAGAGGCAAAAAGGAGACTGGGAATGTCCTGCTGACTCCCTTATAAAAAAGCACGTTGCCTGATAACTGGAAAACTATTTTTACCTTATTTCAGTAGTTGGACCAAATGAAAAAGCTGTCGTGACATGTTATCCCAGAGACATATTTCAGGTACTTGCTTGGAGCTGCAGCATGCTATGAAATGACCTGCATAATCCAGAAATCATCCAGGAAAACTACACTTTTTCCTTCAGAACTTTTGGGTTTTGTGTTATTTCACACTGTGTAGGACAAATACTTGATCCCATGTTTCAATGACACAAATACATATTTTCACCGAATATTTGCACTCTTCACATGTGCCCATTAATAATGGAACTCTCACTCCCAGCTGTAGCATGGATTTTTACCTGTAGCATGAGGTTTATCCTTAAAGCAACTGCTTGACTGTGGTGAATAATGTAAAAAGTACATTTTCAGTCCAGCCACCTTAAACAGTGACCTGAAGGAATCACTAATGGCTAGTGACAGAAAACAACTTGGTTTACTTTGCTACTGTTTGGCATTAAAAAGGTCTTTTAATGCTTGGATTAAAGTTTTCTGGCAAAATCTTCACTGGTTTCACTTGAATAAGTGATAACCACTTATTCCCCAAAACAAATACTTACATACAATTCCATCAGAATTCCTCTTTACCAGCATGGACAAATCACAATTTACAGAGGCTTTTGCCTGAAAGGCAAACTCTGTCCTTAGGTGAAGAGTCTGCCCTAAAATGCAATAGTCTTGTTTAAAATACAAGGAGAAGCCTTCGTGGTGCTCTCTGCACTTCATTTGACTGCAGCCTTCATTTGACTATTAATCTTCTAATACCATATATACTGTAGGAAAGACATGCTAATAAAAAAGACAGCACTGACACCATTAATCATGCGTAGGAGTATATAAATACTGCAGAAATCTCACACATTTAAAAGAAAATCAGCATTATAAGAATTTTCTGAGATAATTTCACTGTGGAAAAATATTTTTACTCTGAAAATATTTTACTGAAAAATATTTTTACTTTGAAAATATTTTTACTCTTTTTTATAACCATATGATTTTAATTATCATTGTTATTTCTCTGTCAGCTTTTAGTGAAATACGTATGGATGTGATATTATTGTATCTGCTCTCTATTCTGTTTGTGGGAAGGTTTGATTTAGTTAGCAATGAAGTTTGCTCCAGCTGAAAAAATGCATTTCAGCCTCTGTGTCAGAGCTTTGTAAACCTGGATTAGGTCAATCTTCAAATGGCTGATAGTTGGGAAAAACAGATATCTCCTCATTAAGACACCTCACAATGAGGTTGTTCAAATAAAATACTTCTGTGACAAAAATGCCCAAGTTACTTACATTTAGAAAAGATTCAGTAAATAGCTGTTCTCTGATCCAAGTTTGCTGCAGGGTACTCTGGAACCTCACTTGGTTTGTGGAATTTAAGGGCACTGGTGGAATTCACAGATTCCATACACCACATTCCTAAAATGTTGATAAAGACCCAGTTTCAGTTACTTACATGAAATTTTTAAAGGTCATCAAAAATAAAAGCTGCAAGTAAAAACTCATCACAATGCAGCATTATTTTTACAGTAATCTCTATTTTCCAGGTATTTATAAAGCTGAGTTGTTCAGCCCATTTCCTGTTATGAAGAAATTCTTTGTAATTTTGAGGTATGGATAGTGGCATCATTCATAAAGGGGCAGAGAATAAAATGACTTAAGGTAAATATTTCAATATATAACTTTTAGGGGTTTATAGCAATCAATTTCATGTTCTACTTACAAGTTATATTGAAGAATATTATGTTTGTAAAAGAAATATTTGACCAAAATCATCTTCCACTGTACTTCTCTCTTCCCCCTTCCCCAGTCATACTGAAGCCTTTACTCTCTTTTACCCTGGAGAGTAAAAAGACCCCGTTCCTGGGGAATTATCCAGTCCAGCTCTCATCAGGGAGTTGGGAATGTTCAAAATACTCAAAAATACATTTCAAAATCGAGGCATGCAAAATCAGAAGAAAAATAATCTCGTATTTGAAAATATGTTTTGTGCTGACTGTATGTAGATAATTGAAAACACACATGGGTCTATTACAGTAACATATGTTAAATCTCATATCTTCAGATATTAAATCCTGAGTATTGAACCTGAATGTCAAAATAAATGTAAGGTACTACATTTATGTATTTTTGGCTATGTAAATATTCCTAAATATTACATTATGCCTTCATTTTACTTTATTTTTTGAAAGAAAACCAATTTTACTTGCTTGTGGAACTTCAGCATTGATAAACAATTTCTCTTTGAAGCTATATAAAAACTCATAAACTTGAATTTTATTGCATTTTTATAGAGCTCTTGTCAATATTCCAGAGTTTGTCTTCTGGTCAGTCTTCTACTGTGAGAACTTTTGTGTCAGAGAACACACAGTCCATGTCACAGCAAGACTTTCAATTATATTTACTTTAAATAAAACTGTTTTCCTGTTTCAGGTGATAGAATTCTGTGATTATTTTTAAAAATGTGTTCCTTACATCTAATATTTAAAATAGTTTCATCTTAGCTGGCATTATTCCTGGTCTGTAAGCCTGTGTTCATTGCTTTCCATATCCATGGGTGGTATTCACTACACAGAGCCAAAGTCTTGCTGTAAGTATAGAGGTGGCTTTGGCTCCAAAATCTAAATCCTAAGTCTAAATAACATTGTAGAAGTAGTTTTTATTTATGATATATAAATGCAATATCCTTCCCTGTGCAAAGTGCACTTTTGCAAGCAGATCTGTAATCTGAATTGAATAAATTCAATTGGTGGAACTCCACAGAGGAATGGAGCTGCCTGGATACAATGCTGTGTAGAACTGAGGATTTTTAATTCTTTTTACTCAGCAGAAAATAAATATATTTGGCTATTGTTTTGCAATGTTTATGGGAAAATTAAAATACCTAATTTTTTTCATAATCCTTTTTTTGCTTATTGCTTTTCTTATGGGTAAAATATTCTATTCTGCTATTCAAAGCTGTATTGAAAGCAGAGATAATTCATGTCCATACAAATGTCAGGATTATGTATATGAGTTTTAAGTATTCACACTGAGTATAACTCTGATATGAGTAGAAAACATAGAATATTTTTCCAATACAAACCACAGATTTTTGAAGGACTGTATAATCCTCACAAATGTTCCAGGGTCCACTTTTCTCTGGGGCAGGTACCCTGTCTTACATACACTGATTACACGAATAAATGCTAATAAATGAGGCATCTTTAGCTAATAATAGCAAAGATATAATTTATAGTACTAATGGAATTTACTGTATGTACTGCTATGGATTATACTTTCCCACTGTATAATCTGTTTTATTTCAACTGTAACTCAAGGATAGCAAAGGAAGGTCTGAATAAACATGAATTGGAGATGTTGCAACTGAGCACAGGAATGTAATGATGGGAAATTTTTCCTACAAATGATCTCTTTGCAAAAAGCTTTAAATGTCTGATTTCCTCCAGAGAACTCAATCCAAACCCCTGATGTTATTAGAATGAGTGTGGCCCTTTACACCATCATTCCTTGTGACTGATTTGTGCCACACAAAGATTGCACAGGAGGGAGTTTGCTCTGCCCCCACCTATGCAGTTCCCACAAAGGCCACCACTGAAACTTCCCTCAGTGCCTGCCAGGGATTCCTGCACTGTGGAGGCTGAGGAAGATGATGACTTTTAAAGAAGCCAACAGGATCATCAGATGTATACAATGATTCCATGTTTGCCTGCTGATATTAATCCATTCTTAAAAGGGAATGAAAACAACATGAAAAGATGGGAGTTACACCAAACCAGTAGTGTTTTATTTCTCTCATACTTGGGAATCAGATTCCAATTAAACAGCAATGTAGGTTGGCTTTTGTATTTTCATTTTGCCTTCAAGTAAAATAGAGCACTAAAAAAAAGGAAGAAGAGAGAAGGACAGAGGTGGCAAGGCACTTAAATATGACCAAGATGGTTTATGTCAATGAGTTCAGCAAAGGGATTAGCATTTGTTTATGTGGCTGTCTCATGGAGTTGGTTTGCAATGCTCCCTCACCCAGCACATCCTTCATTGCTCATATTTCAAAGGTCTTTTTTTCAGGATTCCAAACATACAAATCAAAAGTGAAATTATTAACTCAGTAGTGGAAATTGAAGCTGACTGACTCTGTCAAGTCAATGTTTACTATTAGAAATAAGTTTAAATTTCATGTCATCACCCAAATCTTGCACCCAGGAGCTTTGAGTGCTGACTGTGTCACTGTACTGTGACACATGTTCGTGTGTTTGGGTTTAAGTGATTGGGAAGAGCAATTTCCCAATATCAGGCAAATGACTAAACATTTCTTAAGGATAACTCAGCCATTGAACATAAAAGACCCTCCCATTTCATGTTACAATTCTCATCTTTACTGTGCCTCAAGAATGCTCTGATTCATCCCTATGGAACACTTCATGTACTATAGTTTAACTTTATATTTCCATCATGATACCAACAATTTGCCAAAACAGCAATTTCTCTCCACACCAAGTATTGCTCACTCCTAAATCAATGTATACTGTCTGCTTCCATCCCTGCTCTCTGTCTCAATTATTATTTTGTGTAAGATAAGAAAATCCCATTTTTACCACTGGAGAGCCAGGCTGCTTAGGTCACAAGATTCTCTTGGCTTAATCCTTGAGTATGAATCATGAACTTTCCCTAATAAGTCCCGGCATTCTTCAGATGATCAAGCGAGCTTACCAAGGCTTCCAGAGCTTTCCACATTAATTATCACCACGTTTAAAGTATCAAAAGCAGTAGCTGATTAAGAATTATTAAGACTATAAGTTGTTTATTCTTACTTTTCCTTTCTGTCCTCTATTTCTCACTCTCATGTGGCTTGAGGTTGTGAATGGCAATAATACAACTCAGATAATAGAAGACAACACATTAAAAAGATTATGAAAAATAGAAAACAGACTGAAAATTATCAATGTGAAAAACTGGAAACAAATTTGCTTGCTTTCTACATTACATGGATCTAAATTAAGCTATAAATAATGCCCATGATTTCAGTTCAGAAAGAGCTTTTTTCTCATATTTAATATGAGAAAATTGTAAGAGAACTAGAATAAGAGTAAGGCTCTACTCTGCAAACTTAGAACCTCTGCAACAGTACACACTACTAAGGAGTCATCACAAATGCCATGTGATTAAATGAGTATTCCGTTAGAAATAAATAAGATAAAGACCTTAGAAAGAAAAAAAGAAATTATTTTTTAACACTTGAAAGTGGAAACAAAATATTCATTCAGGATTTATAGTACAGAAAATTGCTGGAATAAGTCTGGATTCTTCTAAGTACTTTAAAACTGGAAATGTGGGCACAGGAAAGATTTTACATTCGTGCCCCAAATTTAGATACTAAATCTAGCAGAAGTTAAACAAGAATGAGTAATTATTACCTCATTAAGTTTAGCTACCAAAAATATTTTTGCATTTTTACCAGGATTAACACATCTAAATAAAGATTGAGTAAATTCCTCAAAGAGTATTTTAAGTGTGGCACAGCACGGCAGGATAGAACTATATTTTATATTTGGAGAAAATAAGTTCTGTACTTAACTGGCAGTTAATTAACCATGTGTATGTGTGGGTCCATTACACGACACGCCCAAGGCATAGTCAAAATCATCTGGGAACTTCTGTGGAGACAACAAATATTTTTACAATAATAGTGATTAAGCCTGAAAATAAAAGCAAAAAGCCCTGAAAGGAAATCAAAAGTGAGTCAAACTCACTGGTGGTTACTTTCATACTTCTCATCCAAAGTGAGTCAAAATCACCAGGCGTTACTCTCACATTCATCACATAAACTGTAATATAAGAATGCAGTCAAGAGGAAAAGAAGAAACAAGATGAAAGGAGCAAATCCAAGACACGGTTTTCATATTATTTCCAAAGCTGACAAATTTGAGAAGAATACTACTAAAGGTGGCATTAAATAGGAAATCCCTCTCTGAGCGCTCCAAAGAATGAGTTCTCAAAGAGAACTAAAACCAGTGGCATAACAAATCCTTGGAAATCAAATTCAGGTACTGTATTTAGACAGTTACAAATTTAAAATATACACAAAATACCATAAAGGTTCAGTACAGCCCTTTTTTGAGGCATGATTTAGTGACACACTTGAGCAAGTGAGTAGCTGAACATGGCTCTTGCTTCCAAGGACTTGCATAATTTAGCACCCAAGTTCAGGAAATGACTCTAATACCAACCTGATTCAATAAGCTATTTGAAGACACAGGGTGCTGAGCACTGAATTTAATATTTCCTATGTACTTTATCAGATAAAGAGAATCTTTCTCTGGAGTAAAGGTGACTCTGCAAACACAGAAACATTCTCTAGTTCTATTGTTTTTCTGACAGTACAGTATACAGAAATTGTGCAGAAAATCTAGAAT